TCTCTCTCTCTCTCTCTCTCTCTCCTCCTGCTTTTCCTTCTTGCTCGGTTTGTTCCCCTCTTGCTACGGCTCCTTTTCTTTCATTGCCTGCTGTCCCTCCTGGTTTCCCTCTTCCTCCCGTTTGTTTCTCTTTTCTTCCATCTCTGTCCTTCTCTGCCCCTCCCGACACCCACCCTCCGATGCCAAGCGGCCGCATCAGTTACACAGACATGTATGAGATGCTGAGGCACATGTCTCCTCCCCTTGGACTGGGAAAGAAATGCCCAGCTCGGGTGGCGTACAAGGTTAGACCCCCCCTCCTGCCCTTGAGAACCGCTGCTGTGGTCCATGTGTTGTGTGGCTCAGCTGAAAGCCCTCTTCTCTTTGTGACATTTGTGGCTTCTTCTGGGTGCCTTCTGACGCTTTCCTCATCTAGGCCAGGGGTGTCCAACATCCAGTGAAAGAGACTTGGGGTCTTGATTAGAGCCTTTGAATGGCTGAGCTGGAAGAGGGACCCTTGGGGTCATCCAGTCCAGCCCCTCTCAAGGAGGCCTGGGTGTGTTTGTGTGAAGGATCGAACTACCCAGCCCTGTGCCTCCGCAGCCAGAGACCTGGACCACTGAGTGATCCAGCATAAAAGGTTATCACAAACAAAGGCAGCCATTTTGGGTGTCCCCCAGCTATAGGGAAAAGTGGGCATTTTTTTCCTTCCAGCTGTATATAGAGCCGGCCATGTCGATGTTTAAAGATCTGTGACCATTTTTTATTTTCTCCAGCTGTATAAAGAATCAGCTGTTTTGGATTTCCATAGTTTCATACAAAGGCTGCCATCTTGATTTTCTCTAACTGTATATATATTAAAAAAGCAGCCGTTTTGGTTTTCCATCCAAAGGTGTGATGCGGACATCTTTCCGACGCTCACGGGTCCAACTCCAGAAGGGAATAAGGGCACTTAGGAATGTCACATGGCCAGAGCTGGCCGTTCCCTGCACTGCCCAAATCCCAAGGTTAAGGAACATATTTTGAAAAAGAGGGATGCTTCGCTACAGTCCCCTTAGCCATGGCTGTGCCAAAGACAATCTAGGGGTGGAGACAGCAACCTTAATCCAGGTCAACAAGCCAGTTACAGCTCTCGTTGCATCCATGAGGAAGAGGCCTTTTGTACAGCTACTGGATCTTGATTCAGACCTGGGGCAGCCCTAAAACATATTGCCCTCCCCCCCCACAATTTTATTGTTAATGGGAAACTTCCTTCCTCCCTGCTTATTCTGGAGACAGCATCCGAGCTCAGACGGCCTCCAAGGCGCAGGGAAGTCTGGAAGGAAAGAGCCCATCGTTCCTCTTTCTCCAGCCCCCACCGTGTCCGATGAACTCCAGAAATGAACCTCATGGAGTCCGGGAGCAGGCATCCCCAATTCACCAGCACTCAAAAGTCTGGAGGCTCCAAGGTGGGGCCTCTCCCCACAGGAGTAATCTATCTGCTGCCTTCTGGGGTCACGGCGTTTCCCTGAAAGTGCATGATGTATGGAAATGGGTGGGATCCTGCAATTCCCTCTCACGGTGGCTCTTCCTACAGAGATGCTGGAAGGGGAAAATACTGTAAAACCCATCTTATCTGTGGGGGCAATTGGGTGCAGTCTCTGAGCAGCTGCTGGGCGATAAAAAAAGGAGCCCTTCTTCCCCCCAAATTGAGTTTGACACCCCTGTTCTAAGTTTTGACATTGCACACATTGGTCGTTGTAGTTGTGTTGCCCATTCTGCCTCTCTGGCCAGCCGGGTCTCTTCCCGCCCATCACAAATTTCCCAGTCCATTCCTCCTTCCTCTGGCATAACTGGAGGGAACCGTTTCACGCCGCCTCGCGAAGGGGCCAGGAATGGCCAACGTGTCGCTAGATGAGATCCCCCTTTAGCCATAGCCAGCATAAACAGTGACAAAACCTGTCAATGTGATTTTTTGGATCGCACACAAAGCTCACGGGCTCCCCCTGTTTCTCCAGAAACTCTCTCTAAAATATCTACAGTATTCTGTTCTTCTTGCAAAAAGCTACTTAAGACCTTCCCATTGCTAACAGAACACCCACACGGCTTTGTATCAGCTGTTTGCAAGTCTTCTTCCCCCCCCCCCATACCCTTGGGAAAAGTGGTGGGAATAGAGCTGCATTTTCCTTAGCTCTGAGCCAGCTAGGGTGGGTGGTACGGCTGGAGGGGGAGTCATCTATGAAATGCGGCTTGCACCACCGAGCTTCCCTTAAATGCAGCCTGAAGAAACACATGCCATGGGGATCACCACAATACGGGAGCCCAAAGACCGCGAACCCCTTCTAGCGAGGAGTTGAGTTCGGTCAGAAAGAGGATTGCAGGCGCTGCCAGATGTGGCTGCTATGCTTCTTAGTGCTGCAGCCAGGAATGCACTGTGAAGGTAGATGAGATCTTGACGGATTTGCAGAAGTGAGTTGAGCATAAGTCAAAGCAAGTGACCTGGAATGCCAGCAGTGTTCCTTTGGAGGGTCCAGTAGCTGTCCTCCACAAACGTGGTTCAGGAATCAAGGACATCCAGGGACCATCTCGACATAAACAGTCCCCTTAAAAGGGCCTGAGGACTGACCTTCGGATGCCCTGGAGTTTAAGGATTAGAAAAGGGACATGGGAACGTAGATGGTTGTGGCCACCGTGGCCTTGTGGCTCAATGCTGGGCCTTTCTAGTCGGGCGAAGAGGAAAATGTTCTAGGTAGCAGGGGATCTGTCTGGGTAAAGGAAGCCTGGAATGCAGAGCAGTTGCTTCAGTAATGTTTTTTGGCTGCACCGAAGCAATTTTATCATTGGCCTGAGACCATCTGGGCATCTGTTATCTGTACATGACTCAGCTCTTGCTTCTGTCCCTGGAGGCCAAGAGCAGACCGTGGTTGCTGAAGGGGCTAAGAACGAGGTGGTCATCCCCGACCAATAAAGGACGTCCTTTAGGGTTTAGGGAAGGCTTCTCCAGACAATGCTAGGGAAGAATCCCGCCTGACATCCGGAAGATCCACCCCGTTATTGCCAAGCTGGCAATAACAAGCCGTGGCGGATTCATGGGCTTGTTACTGCCCTTAGGAAGCTGCTCCTTGAGATCCCAGCTTCCCCAGAGTGTCCTGTCATCGTATCTCTTCCACTTCTTCATTGCCCGTCGGAGAGTCTGTTGGGGTTCCTCCCAATCTCACAAAGAACGTCCAGACCTTGTTCTCCTGGAGGAAGGGGGCCTCTTGCCTCTTCTGGTCATTTCCGGAGAGCTGGGGAGCCATCCGGGTTCTTTCTTCTCTCTCGCTTTAGCAGCCCAACAGATACAGATACGTAGGTCTATGCGGCATTTCTCCTCCGTTCCCATCTTATGGGTCATGCTCTTCCTCTGGTGCTTCTTTTGTTGACCCCCTCCATCTGTATGTATGCGTCTCCCCGTGCAGGTGTGGATGTGTGTTATTCCCCCAAGCTGGCAAAGAGCGATCCCAGCAGAGTTGTGGCACGTGATAGCTTTCCTTGCCTGCTTTTGCATGTGCTGGTGGCATCTTGGTGGTCTGATGGGACATCCCAGGAGAGCTGTCTCTCCCCTTTGAAATTGCTCTAGCCGAGTTGAGGGGTGCAGAGGAGGTACGGGGCCTCCACCTGCCCTCCAGGTGTGCACCAGTGTGCACAAAGTTCTACACCTTGTACAACAGTGCTTGCCCTTTGGAGGATCCCCGTGGTGTGGGAAGCTGGGAAGAGACATCTCCATGTCTGTGCAGCCATCGGGAGAAAGAGGCGCAAAGGCGCTTCTGTAAGACAGGGATGGGGCTCCCGTCGCTGGTAGGGACAGGAAAGTGGCTGGGATGTTCCTGCTTTTGCTTCCACCTGGGGCTGGAGGTTGTTTTGTGGCGGTTGAGGTGCCCTTGTCCATGCAAGAAGAAGTGGTGATGATGATGATTAAAATGAGGCCCTCTTGAGTTCCTTCCTCCACAAGGTGCCCAAAAGACTTGCAGTGGCAAGTCATGAGAAGAGGAATCCCAAAATGAAACATGTAATAGTATTTTTTTAGCAAAAAAAAAAAGTTACATAAAACGACTAATTGTCATTAGCCTTGAAACTCATCGCTTCCTCTAAGAGTGGGGCAACCTCCAGACCACTGACGAACCACGGGGCGCTTGAAGGAACCTCCAGAGACTTCCTCCCTTAAACAAACCAAGCCTGTGAGGGCAGTTTTCCCCCTCGCAGCCCCCTCCCCAAAATGCTAACAAGCCCAGAAAAGTATAGAGAAGGCTTCCCTGTTCTGGGCAGCAGGAGAAAGGAAACCGGAGCCAGCGGGCCTTTCGCGCCTCCTTCCAGGACGAGCCTTCGGTCACCACGAGGGGGAAAAAAAGGCAGGGCTGGAAGCCAGCAGCGCTCCTGGTTTTTAACTCTCAAAGACGCCCCCCCCCGAGACTCTGCGGGCCGTGAACTGGATGAACTCCAGTGAATGCTGAGATCCTCTTTCTGGGTCAAGGGGGTCTGTGGGTATGTCTTGATCCCGGTGGGTTTGAAAGCCCCCACTCGGAGCTCTCCTGGGTGACCCCCTTTCCTCACCCATCTGCTTGACTTCACTTTTATGCACTTCCCTGTCTTCTTTTATTTTGCTTTCTTGTTTCTCGCACGGGCACCGAAATGAATTTAGTAGGACTCTCAGAGTAAGTCTGGCCCATGGGGATGCCTTGAGAAATGTACATTTTTTGCCGATCCCCTTTCCTGTGCTGATGGCAGGGAAATTGGTTTAGCAGCTGCAATCGCTTGTGGATGCCCGACCCCACCTCATTTTGTGCGAGGGGTAGGTGGGACCTCCTCTTCTCGATGTCCCATTCGGGACATTTTGAGAGCTGGATGGATGAATCTGTCCCTGTCCGTTTCTGACATGTTCAATTCGTTTCTACCTCAAGTTCTCGAATTAGGAAGACAATTTGCAAAGATGGGTTGGTAAATCCTTATCCAGAATGAATGGAAAGGACCTTATAAACCGATCCCTGGTCAAACGTGACAAATTGTAAGCACAGCTTAGCTGTGGAGCAAGCCACCTAAAGATGGGCTTGGGCCTTTCGATCTCCCCGTCGCTTGAGTCAGCACATGAAAGAATCGCTGTTGTTGAATGTCAGGCCTGAGCAAGTCTCGGTTTTACTCTGGGGGAGGGAATTAAGACGGTCTCGTCGAAAATGGGGCCAGAGTGGGTGGCTGCAACGTTCTGGGGCAAAGGATAACGTTAGTGGGTGTTAAGCGAAAACCTGTCTCCGTTCTCAGCGCTTGGTAAGGATGAACATGCCGATTTCCAATGATGACTTAAGCGTTCACTTTACCTCAACGCTGATGGCTTTGATCCGAACCGCTCTGGATATCAAACTGGCTTCAGGTGAGTCATGGGTGGGCCCATCAGTGGTTACTAGAAAGATTTAACTGTGCTTTTTTTTACTTTTTTTCCCACATCTGACTTTTTGTAAGCCTTGGCAAATCCTAATTTTCAAAAAATAAACCCTTCCAAAATTTCATCCGATTTGAATTTTGCCCGTCTTGGAAAATTCTGATCAGCTTCTCCAAAGAATTCTCAATGGATGGCAAATCTCTTAATTCCACTTATCCCCACATTTGACTTTTGTAAGCATTGGTACCTTTTAATCAATTAACTGGTGAAAAAATCCCCTTCATTCCTAGAGCAGATCCATCATTTTTTGCTTTTTCCCATACTTGATTTCACACCCCCACCCAGCCAGTAAACTCTCTGATAAATGGGAGTAAAATGTGGTTTACAACTAAACCAGAACTAAATGTCGCCCATTCCTCACGATGGGCCAGTCTGCCAGTTATGATTTCTGCCACGTTTGAATTCTGTAAATGTTTGTTGATAAATTATTTTCAGCGGAAACAAATTTCTTTAATGACTAGGTCATTCGTCAGATTGGGCAAGTATGTCCTTCCCGACTCAGAAAGGTCTGGCGAGAGACCATTGATAAGGATTTCTGGGGAGAAACAGAGGCAGAGGGGCCCCCGATTATTGGCAAGCTTCCCATCTGGTCAGGGCAGGCTGGTCCCTTGGGTTTTTCAAAGGAAACAAATCTTGCTCCTGTTTTAGTCCAAATGGGACTGGGGGTGCCTCACCCTGGCGAGTGGCTGTCAAGTTCAGACTAAACTCCAGCACGGATTTTTCCCTAGTCACCAGCCCTCACCTACATTTGCGATTCGCCACTGCCAGAAGGAGGCTGTTGGATGAGGTATCCCAGTCCAACAGAGCTCTTCTTCTGGAGCAATGTGCCGGAGCTACACTGGGTTCTTGACCGGTGCCTCTTTCGGTCCTCCCTCCCTCCCTCCCAGGGGCCCTGCAGCAGCAGTGCGATGCTGAGCTGAGGAAGGAGATCTCCCTGGTCTGGCCGAACCTCTCCCCAAAGACCTTGGACCTGCTGGTTCCACCTCATAAATGTAAGTGGCAAATTTCCCCCCACACACACACACACACACTCCGGGCGGAGGTCGAGCCCGACATCCTTTTCCTCCCGATTCCCCCCCCCCACACACACACACACTCCGGGCTGAGGTCGAGCCCAACATCCTTTTCCTCCCTAAATGTTTTGATCGACTGACCCAACGGCGCCTGTGAGGGGCTCTCATGGGAAGCCGCGTCCCAGAAAAACTGCCTCTCCCACACAAGGGGTGTTTATTGAGTCCAGTCCTAGAGGAGTCGTCCGGTTGTCGAAGTAACTGTTTGTAGCTCTCTTTCAGTGGGAAGGGTCGCTCCGTAGAAGAAAGACCCGTTTCTAATTCTATTTGAATAGTAACTATTTGCAATCCGGCTTTAAAAGTAACGAATATTAGCCGCGTTTGATCCCAAAAAGTCACTAATACGTAGCAGCCCTGTCTTGAAAGTAACGGATAGTGCTCCTGTTGGATCTCAAGGCATACCAAACCGCTACCCTCTTTTGGAATTAAGTAGTCGTACCTTTATTTTAGAAGTAACTCATAGTAGCCATGTTTGAAAAGTAATGAATACTACCCTGTTTTAGAAGTAACTAGGAGTAGTTTTAGAAGTAACTGATGGGTAGTATTTTACATGAAATCACGGATGTACGACAGCCCCGTTCCCTCCCTCTCCACAAC